CTCTATAGTCGCGACTCCGTGAATCCAGGTTCCTCACTGCTTCTCTAATTCTCAGGTCCCACGTTCGGGCGCCATTTGTGCCGGCCTGCGGCACAATGAACTGGGTCTTCCTGAAACAGAGAGTGGGAATGCGGGGACAAGGACGCAAAGAATGGAGCCAAGACAAGTCCTGATCAAGGCTCGTTTATTGAATAAATGCAGTAGTATTTAAACATGACCAGTTGTTTACAAGGAGGAGCACAAAAGATTTACATATCAAAACGGCTCTTAAGGTTACAATAAAAACACTTAGGTGATAAATGAAGGTTACAGGTGTGACTGATTATTCGTATCATCTCTTGTGAAAGGTTTAGGTTCCTCCTGCCTCTTCCCGGAATCTCCCCTAGCCTAATTGTCTGTGCCGGGAAGTCTCCATTCATATGTTTAAGTGTAAACAAAGGGAGTGACTACCTGTGGCTGCCCACACGCCCCCACGGGGTGAGACCCAGAGGAAGCTCCTGGCTTCCGCCTGGCCCAGCCCCAGTCGTCGAAAACATTCGGGGGTGAACGAGCAGACGGAAGACCGGCCTCGGCCTCCTCCCTCCCCCAGCTCTGCCTTTCAAGTAATACTGAACAGGACCCCAAGGTCATCTCAGGAGGCGGCGCAGGGCCCGGCCCACCAGTGACCCTCATCTCAGAGGGTGGGCGTCTCACCGGGCTGCGGCCCCTTCCCTCACACCAACCTCCGACTCCCTACCCCAAACACCCCCATGATCTGAGGCACTCGAGGGCACCCCTGTACAAGCTGACTTCCGGACCTCCCTGCATTCCCGGGCCTGGTGCGGCAGGGACACGGCAAGGGGTCCACGCCCCCTCAGGCTCCGCCTCCGTGACAGGGACAAGGCAAGGGGTCCACGCCCCCTCAGGCTCCGCCTCCGTGACCAGGGACACGGCAAGGGGTCCACGCCCCCTCAGGCTCCGCCTCCGTGACCAGGGACACGGCAAGGGGTCCACGCCCCCTCAGGCTCCGCCTCCGTGACCAGGGACAAGGCAAGGGGTCCACGCCCCCTCAGGCTCCGCCTCCGTGACCAGGGACACGGCAAGGGGTCCACGCCCCCTCAGGCTCCGCCTCCGTGACCAGGGACACGGCAAGGGGTCCACGCCCCCTCAGGCTCCGCCTCCGTGACCAGGGACACGGCAAGGGGTCCACGCCCCCTCAGGCTCCGCCTCCGTGACCAGGGACAAGGCAAGGGGTCCACGCCCCCTCAGGCTCCGCCTCCGTGACCAGGGACACGGCAAGGGGTCCACGCCCCCTCAGGCTCCGCCTCCGTGACCAGGGACACGGCAAGGGGCCCACGCCCCCTCAGGCTCCGCCTCCGTGACCAGGGACACGGCAAGGGGCCCACGCCCCCTCAGGCTCCGCCTCCATGACCAGGGACACGGCAAGGGGTCCACGCCCCCTCAGGCTCCGCCTCTGTGACCAGGGACACGGCAAGGGGCCCACGCCCCCTCAGGCTCCGCCCAGGGGGAGAAAGGGCAGTGGGTTGGGGGAGAAAGCCCTCAGGCGCTCCCGAGGGTCCCAGCCAGGCACACGAGCCCACGCATCCGGGACACCGCCGACACCCCAGTGAAGGGAAGGCCGATCCACGCACAGCAAACGGGCACAGCGTGTGGGATCGGCGCTCAGAGCTGCGGCACGCACCTCACCACGGGGAGGGGGCCGCGGTAACGTGTCCCCCCTCCCCAGGGCAACACAAGCCCCGTGCTGGGGCACAGCAGGTGAAGGGGCCGCCCGCAGCACCAGCATCCCACAGGCTCCGGTCCAGCTCCTGCTGCTGCCTTGGGAACAGCAGATGGCCCGAGCTCGCGGCCCTGCCACCCACAGACCCAGATGAAGCTCCTGGCTCTTGTGGCGGCCTGGGGAGGGAGCCAGCGGATGGAAGATGTCCCTGCCTTTCAAATCAATACATAAGTCTTTTAAAAGTTTATAACGTGGCTGGCGCCGGCACACCGGGCTCTAGTCCTGGTTGGGGCGCCGATTCTGTCCCGGGTGCCCCTCTTCCAGGCCAGCTCTCTGCTGTGGCCCGGGAGTGCAGTGGAGGATGGCCCAAGTGCTTGGGCCCTGCACCCCATGGGAGACCAGGAGAAGCACCTGGCTCCTGGCTTCGGATCAGCGCGGTGCGCCGGTCGCAGCGCAATGGCGGCAGCGGCCATTGGAAGGTGAACCAACGGCAAAGGAAGACCTTTCTCTCTGTTTCTCTCACTATCCACTCTGCCTGTCAAAATTAAATAAATAAATAAAAGTTTATGATAACACGAAGGACCTAAAGGGGCCAAGGCAGTTAGAGGCCAAAGTCCCAGCACTGAGAGCAGAGCAGGGCGCCAGCGCCAGGACCGCTCCGTGGGGGCGGGGACAGGGGCGGGGGCGGGGGCAGGTTGGAGGGAAGTGAGCTCAGATGGAAGACGTGGGAGAGGCCTGGGTCTCAGCAGCAGAACACGAGCTGAGAGGCGCTGGCCAGCTGACCCCAGGGAGGGAGCCCAGGACTGGGGGAGCCGTGAGCCCCCCAACCCCAGGGAGGGAGCCCAGGACTCGGGGAGACGAGCCCCCCAACCCCAGGGAGGGAGCCCAGGACTCGGGGAGACGTGCCCCCCGCCCCACCCCGAGGAGGGAGCCCAGGACTGGGGGAGATGTGCCCCCCCACCCCAGGGAGGGAGCCCAGGACTGGGGGAGACGTGCCCCCCGCCCCACCCCAGGGAGGGAGCCCAGGACTGGGGGAGATGTGCCCCCCCACCCCAGGGAGGGAGCCCAGGACTGGGGGAGACGTGCCCCCCGCCCCACTCCAGGGAGGGAGCCCAGGACTGGGGGAGACGTGCCCCCCGCCCCAGGGAGGGAGCCCAGGACTCGGGCCCCTGCCCCCAGTCTCCCCAGTGTGAACACAGCCAGCACAGACCCACAGGAAGCTGTCAGAGCAAAGCAAACCATCACAACGTGTGTGTGTGTGTGTGTGTGTGTGTGTGTGTGTGTGTGTCAAGCGCCAGCAGACACCGAGAGCCTGGGCTCCCTGGGCTCGGGGTGAGGCTCGTGCTGGGCCCCATCCCACTGCTTGGAGTTCCCAGCTGCCATCCTGAGCCCTGGCTGTGGCATTCGGGGCGTGAACAGCGGGAGGCCGGCCCTCTGGGGCTGCTCTGTGAGGCCATCCAGCCGCTCTGCGCACAGTTCTGGAAAAGGCCCGGTACCGAGGCTGGCGCGTGGCACCCTGGACCGCAGAGCCCGCGTGGGCAATGCTGCCGGTGACGGAGGCGGCACGTATCTGAGCTCCGGCTCCAGGCCCGGCGGCTCCACTTCCTGTCACGCTCCTCGCTACTGCGCCCAGGAAAGCAGCAGAATTTGGCCCAAATCCTTGGGCCCCTGCACCCTTGTGGGAGATGTGGAAGAAGCTCCTGGCTCCTGGCTTGGCCCAGCCCCAGCCACTGCGGCCAACTGGGAAGTGAACCAGCAGATGGTAGACCTCTCTCTGCCTCCCTGCTCACTCGCTCTTAAAAACAAGACCCGTGATGTGCAGAGACGTAACTACAAAATGTAAAAAGACAAAACCAAACCACGTTCACACACGGAGCCGTAGACAACAGCATGGCGGCGGTGACCTCAGGACAGCAGCGCACGCCAGACCCGCCCCGGCCTGCGAGGACCCAGCAGGGCTGCTTTACAGAAAGAACGACAGTGCGGGGGCGGCACAGGGTGCCGGGGCAAGTCCTGGCCACTCCACTTCCAATCCAGCTTCCTGCCAGTGCGCCTGGGAGGCAGCGGGGCGGCCCCAGTCCTTGGGCTCCTGCCCCCTGGCTCCAGCCTGGCGCAGCATCTGGGGAGGGAACCCACAGAGGGAAGCCCCCGCCTCTCCCCGTCTCTCCACTCCAGCAAGTACATTCCAGAATGCAGCTCACTAGCTAACGCTGTCACCCCAGCGCCCTTCCTTCAGGAGACAATCTCAGGGTGCACCCACAACGCACCCAGGGCAGAAAAAGCCCATGAACCGCAAGGATGACCGCGCACGCAAGCCTAGTGGCGGACCTGGGCGGGCGGGCACGTCTGCAACCCGCTGCTCCAGTGCTGGGGCCCTGCACCCGCGAGGCCTAGGCCCGGCCAGCGCAGCCCCGAGGAGCGAACCAGTGGGCGGCCTGTCCCTCCCTCCCTCCGACTCCCAGATAGAGAGATCTCTCTAGGAACTCCGCGGCGCCGTAAATACGACTCTGAGGCACCAAGCAAAAACGTGAAGCCCCAGGAAAGGACCCGGAACACGCGTGCGAGATCCCAGCAGCCGTCCCAGACGAGCGCACGCGGCACGGCACGGCCGGGCTGCCCTCGGCAGGCGCGGGGGCCGGGCCCCAGCTGCTGCCCAGGCTTCCCAGCAGTCTCTCGAGTGGCCCCGAGTGTGTGCAGCGCCCTGGGGACCCATCCAGGCAAGTCGTCGCCCGCACGGTCCGCGGAGCCGCAGACGGGGAGGGGGCGCCCGTGCCCACAGGACCCGGAGGTAGCGTGAGGAAGCGAGGAGAGAAACTGCCGACCATGGCGTTTCCTGTCCTTACGGCTGGCGCTTGAGGAACCCGGTTCAATGTGACACTCGGGACACCGGAGAACACACCGAGTGCTCCGGCCTGAACCACGACCAGGCCACACGCAACCCACACGCAAGCCGGGTCCTGGGATGGGACGGTTCCCATAACCTCCCGGAACCGCACCACCCTTGCCCCAGCCCTCGCAGCCCAAGGGGGCCACGCCTCTTAGATGCCAGAGACGCTTGTCTGGCGAGGCCCCTGGCTGAAGCCCCCCCAACAGGGCCCCGCCCAGAAGGAGCCGACAGCCCACCTGGGGGTCCTGAGGGCAGGTCCTGGCCGCAGCCCAGTCTCCGCCCCGCGCCGGAGGCCCTGGTCTGCTGAGGCTGCACTTTGCTGTGTACACGGCCCTGCCGCCGGGGCGTGGACTTTCCCCCGTGGATCCATAATTCTGAGAAGAGCCGAAAACGACCTAGAAAACCACCGCAGTTAGCAGGGCCGAGGCCACACTGCCTGTCCCAACCTCCCGGCGGGGGACCCCGAGGGCCATGCCCCCGAGCTGTGGGTGGGATGGGTGCCCCAGGGCCTGGCCCCTCACTGTCAGCGCTGCATCCAGCTCCGACAGGCCCCAGGGCCTGGCAGGACCGGGGTGGAGTGGGAGCCCCCGGGGCAGCCTTCTCCCCCTGCCTGGCCTGTGGCCACCTCTGGCCAGGCACCAGGACCCGCTCCAGCCTCACGCGTGGGACAGGCGACCACAGTAGGGCCCTTGCCGGAGCCAGGCTGCCCTCACTCTTGGCCAGGGCGCGGCACAGGGACAGCAAACACAAGTGGCCAGCGGCCCTGCCAGGCTTTCCTAGAAGAGGCTTTGGGGGAGGGGTAGTGGCTGAGGTCAGGGGGAGGCCAAGGCTGCGTCTGGAAGCCAGAGCGGCAGAGCCCTCCTGGCTGTTAGGAAAGCACGGGGGTGGGGGTGGGGGTGGGGGTGCAGGGCGGGGTGGGTGCCCCCCCAGCTGTCTGCCAAGGGCAGGGGCATCAGGCCCCTGGGCTGCGGCGAGTGGGTGGGAACCAGAACACACTCGGTCCCCAGGCTCCGTGGGTCACATGAGGGGGCATCCCTGCTCCCACCTGCCTGCCCCAGCCCTGCCAGGGACACGGCGACAACCCACTGCCCCCAGAGCCACACCACAGGCCAGCCTGGACTCTACAGAAAGCTCCGGGGTGGGGTTAGCTCCCCCGAACCACCTGCACCTGGGGGAGCAGGTGCTGCTGCCCGGCACGAGGGGGTTAACGGCCGGGGACGGGGGAGGGCTGGACGGGGGCCGGCCGGGCAGTGGGGAGAGCCAGAGGGCAGGCGCCCGCCCGCAGACGCCCTTGCTCGCGCCTGCCTTCAGCCTGCTCTGCACGCGGGATGGCCCCGAGGACAGGTGAGGCAGCAGGGAAGCCCTGCGGGCAGCCGGCCCGTGGCTCCCAGCCCAGGGAGCGCCGTGCAGGCTGCAGGGAGTGGGGGACACAGACCCAGCCAACCCCCGGGGATCTCCACCCTCTCTTGCTCCCGACCCCAGGACCAGGCGAAGACAGAGCCGGTCCCTGGCTGTGATGGGTACAGAGCCGGGGGCCGGATGCACCTGACCTACACACGGCAGGCCATGCCAGTCCCCCCCCCCCGCTGCAGCTCCCGGGACCCGGCCCGGTCGGGAGAGCGCACCCCACTCTCCACCTTCCCCGGGGCGGTGCTGCAGGGCCCCTGCACCCACCCTGTCGCAGCAGAGGGGCAGTGGGTAGGACCGACGCCAGCACAGGCCGACCCGTGCCCAAGCCCCTGGGCCTGGGGATACCTGCTGAGGAGGCTGCCCGGCAGGTGAGGAGGGTCTGGGGAACCGGCAGGCCTGGGTGCAGGCGGCAACGTGGGGGGCGGCAGGTGGGTGCCCCCCATACGCCCGAGAATCCCGAGGGCAGGCGACCACGGCCGGCGGCCGAGCTGACTCCCCTGCCTCAGCCTGGCCTGGGCGAGCGTCTCGGGTTGGGGCGCTGGCGGCCTGGGCCAGGGCCATGAAGTTGGGGAGCCCTCCGTGTTCTCTGGAGACAGGGCCCGCCACCTGCTGGTCCCATGAGGGGAAAGTGCAGCCGGCCGTCCTCCAGCCTGGCTCAGGCGCACTCCGCTGGAGGCCTGGGGTGGCGCCTCCCCAGAGACCCCTTTGTGCCTCCCAAACTCCTGTCCCCGTAGGCAGCCTGGCCCTGGCGGTGCTGCTCATCTCCTGGGCGGCTCTGGACCCCTGCGGCCTGGAGGGAGCAGAGCCCGGGCCGCCGCCGGGGGACGCCGAGGCCCCGCCGTGCCCGGCCGTGTGCACCTGCAGCCACGGGGAGGACGCGGGCGAGCTCACCGTCTTCTGCAGCTCCAGGAACCTCACGCAGCTGCCCCAGGGCATCCCCGACGGCACCCGGGCCCTGTGGCTGGACGGGAACAACCTGTCCTCCGTGCCCTCGGCCGCCTTCCGCAACCTCTCCAGCCTCGACTTCCTCAACCTGCAGGGCAGCCGGCTGGGCAGCCTGGAGCCGCAGGCGCTGCTCGGGCTGCGCACCCTGCGCCACCTGCAGCTGGGCCGGAACCGGCTGCGCAGCCTGGGCGCCCACACGCTCACGCACACGCCCGGGCTGGCCTCGCTGGGCCTCGCCCACAACCTCCTGGGCCGGCTGGAGGACGGCCTCTTCCGGGGCCTGGCCCGCCTCTGGGACCTCGACCTCGGCTGGAACGGCCTGGCGGTGCTGCCCGACGGCGCCTTCCAGGGCCTGGGGAACCTCCGCGAGCTGGTGCTGGCCGGCAACAGGCTGGCCTACCTGCAGCCGGCGCTCTTCTGCGGCCTGGCCGAGCTGCGGGAGCTGGACCTGAGCAGGAACGCGCTGCGCAGTGTCAAGGCCAACGTCTTCACGCAGCTGCCGCGGCTGCAGAAACTCTACCTGGACCGCAACGCCATCGGCGCCGTGGCCCCGGGCGCCTTCCTGGGCATGAAGGCGCTGCGCTGGCTCGACCTGTCCCACAACCGCCTGGCCGGCCTCCTGGAGGACACCTTCCCGGGCCTGCTGGGCCTGCGCGTGCTGCGCCTGGCGCACAACGCCATCGCCGGCCTGCGGCCCGGCACCTTCAAGGACCTGCACTTCCTGGAGGAGCTGCGGCTGGGCCACAACCGCGTCCGGCAGCTGGCGGAGAAGACGTTCGAGGGCCTGGGGCAGCTGGAGGTGCTGGCGCTCAACCACAACCGCATCCATGAGCTGGCGCCGGGGGCCTTCCTTGGCCTCGCCAACGTGGCCGTCGTGGACCTGTCCGGCAACGGGCTGCGGGGCCTCCCGGAGCAGGCCTTCCGGGGCCTGGGCAGGCTGCACAGCCTGCACCTGGAGGGCAGCTGCCTGGGCCGCGTGCAGCCGCGCGCCTTCGCCGGCCTCTCGGGGCTGCGCCGGCTCTTCCTCAAGGACAGCGGCATCACGGCCATGGACGAGCAGAGCCTGTGGGGGCTGCCCGAGCTGCGGGAGCTGGACCTCACGGCCAACCAGCTCACGCACCTGCCCGGCGGGCTCTTCCAGGGCCTGGCCAGGCTCGAGTACCTGCTGCTCGCCCGCAACCGGCTGTCGGCGCTGTCGGCCGAGGCGCTGGGCCCCCTGGGCCGGGCCTTCTGGCTGGACGTGTCGCACAACCGCCTCGAGGCGCTGGCCGAGGGCCTCCTGGCGCCGCTGGCGCAGCTGCGCTACCTGGACCTCAGGAACAACTCCCTGCGCACCTTCGCGCCGCAGCCGCCGGGCCTGGAGCGCCTGTGGCTGGAGGGCAACCCCTGGGACTGCCGCTGCCCCCTGCGGGCGCTGTGGGCCCTGGCCCTGCGCAGCCCGGCCGTGCTGCCGCGCTTCGTGCAGGCCGCGTGCGAGGGAGACGACTGCCAGGCCCCCGTCTACGCCTACAACAACATCACCTGCGCCAGCCCCGCCAGCGTCGCGGGCCTCGACCTGCGGGACCTCCCGGAGGCCCACTTCGCTCACTGCTGACCAGGCCAGGGCTCGGGAGGGCCCCTCACCCGCCCCGGCTCTCTGGGGCTCTGCCGGCGCGGGCTTGGACGGAGGGCCTGGGCCCGGGGCCCCCCGGGCTCAGCCAGCAGGTGTTACCAATTAAAGCAAACCAGCAACACATGTGCCGCACCGGCTGCCTCTGCACCCCTGCCAGGTCCTCCTGGAACCCCAGCCGGTCAGCGCTCTGGGCGCCCACTGCAGGCCGGCCAGGGAAAGCCAGTGGGTCACATGGGCACCACGCGGTGCCGCCCCCGGCCCTGCCCCAAGTGAGCGAACGGCCCGAGTGCTGTGTCCCCGGGCAGTTCACCAGGGTCTCCCCAGACAAGATGCAGGGCCCGCTGCGGGGGACTGGCAGAGGCAAGGCGAGACGCCAGACTTGAAACCGTGCAGCGGGAGGCGTTTAATGGGGCGGGGTCCTCCGAGGTCACGAGGTGCCCTCCCTTACCAGAGCGGGAGAGCCCTGGAGGAGGCGGGGGCTAGGGGCCGGGGCACCAGGCCCCACGCTGGTCTGTCACAGGCCGACAGGGACGGCCGCTGGCTCCGAGACTGCCCCCGGCAGGGCGGCCCGCAGGTCCCGGGCCCGCTGCTCCGCACAGCCCTCTCCGAGGCGCCGGGGGTGGCCGTGGCTGCCCGTGTCAGGAGTGCTGAGCGGCAGCCCCGTCCAGAACCTTCCGGGCTATGGCGGTCAGCGCGGGGAACGCAGGGCTCTTGGAGAACTCCTGGATGAAGTCTCGGCCCTCCTCCAGGCTCCTGGTGAGCTCGGGGTCCAGAGGCACAGAGCCTGCGGACACAGCAAGGTGGCGGCGAGGGGCCCAGCGGGCGCGGCCGGGCCCTGCCCGGGGCTCGCCTGGTGGGAGATGCCAGGACACCCGGGCTCCTGCTGCTCCCGCCCCCAGGCACTGGGGGTGCAGCTCAGACCACCAGCAGAGGCTGTGGACCCCAGCCCACCTGGCTCCCGGCACCCACCTAGGAAGGGGACCCCCGCGTGTCTGGCGAGCTCCTCGCCTCCACCCCTGGAGAAGATGTTGGTGCACTCCTAGGAGACAGGGTGGTGAGGCGGGCGCCGGCCGACACCCCGCCCCCGCGGGGCCTCCCCCAGGGCTCCACGGGGCCTCCTCCAGGGCCCCCGGGGCTCCCCCAGGGCTCCACGGGGCCTCCTCCAGGGCCCCACGGGGCCTCCCCCAGGGCTCCCGGGGCCTCCTCCAGGGCTCCGCGGGGCCTCCTCCAGGGCTCCCCGGGGCCTCCTCCAGGGCTCCACGGGGCCTCCTCCAGGGCTCCTGGGGCCTCCTCCAGGGCTCCCCGGGGCCTCCTCCAGGGCTCCCCGGGGCCTCCTCCAGGGCTCCACAGGGCCTCCTCCAGGGCTCCCCAGGGCCCCCAGGGCTCCGCGGGGCCTCCTCCAGGGCTCCGCGGGGCCTCCCCAGGGCTCCTGGGGCCTCCTCCAGGGCTCCCCGGGGCCTCCTCCAGGGCTCCCCGGGGCCTCCTCCAGGGCTCCACGGGGCCTCCTCCAGGGCCCCCAGGGCTCCACGGGGCCTCCCCAGGGCTCCCCGGGGCCTCCTCCAGGGCTCCCCGGGGCCTCCTCCAGGGCTCCCCGGGGCCTCCTCCAGGGCTCCACGGGGCCTCCCCCAGGGCTCCCCAGGGCCCCCAGGGCTCCGCGGGGCCTCCTCCAGGGCCCCCAGGGCTCCACGGGGCCTCCCCAGGGCTCCACAGGGCCTCCTCCAGGGCTCCCCAGGGCTCCACGGGGCCTCCCCAGGGCTCCACAGGGCCTCCTCCAGGGCTCCCCAGGGCTCCTGGGGCCTCCTCCAGGGCTCCCCGGGGCCTCCTCCAGGGCTCCACGGGGCCTCCCCAGGGCCCCCAGGGCTCCACGGGGCCTCCCCCAGGGCTCCACAGGGCTCCACGGGGCCTCCCCAGGGCTCCCCAGGGCCTCCTCCAGGGCTCCCCAGGGCTCCTGGGGCCTCCTCCAGGGCTCCTGGGGCCTCCTCCAGGGCTCCCCGGGGCCTCCTCCAGGGCTCCGCGGGGCCTCCCCAGGGCTCCCCGGGGCCTCCTCCAGGGCTCCCCGGGGCCTCCTCCAGGGCTCCCCGGGGCCTCCTCCAGGGCTCCTGGGGCCTCCTCCAGGGCTCCTGGGGCCTCCTCCAGGGCTCCGCGGGGCCTCCCCAGGGCTCCCCGGGGCCTCCTCCAGGGCTCCCCGGGGCCTCCTCCAGGGCTCCCCGGGGCCTCCTCCAGGGCTCCCCGGGGCCTCCTCCAGGGCTCCCCGGGGCCTCCTCCAGGGCTCCCCGGGGCCTCCTCCAGGGCTCCCCGGGGCCTCCTCCAGGGCTCCTGGGGCCTCCTCCAGGGCTCCTGGGGCCTCCTCCAGGGCTCCCCGGGGCCTCCTCCAGGGCTCCGCGGGGCCTCCCCAGGGCTCCGCGGGGCCTCCTCCAGGGCTCCCCGGGGCCTCCTCCAGGGCTCCCCGGGGCCTCCCCAGGGCTCCGCGGGGCCTCCCCCAGGCCTCCCCAGGGCTCCACGGGGCCTCCCCAGGGCTCCTGGGGCCTCCTCCAGGGCTCCCCGGGGCCTCCTCCAGGGCTCCCCGGGGCCTCCTCCAGGGCTCCGCGGGGCCTCCCCAGGGCCCCCGGGGCTCACCGAGCAGTGCGGGCACGTGAAGCCGCTCATGTTCTCCACGACCCCCAGCACCTGCAGCCCCGCCTTCCTGCAGAAGGTCAGCTCCCGCCGCACGTCCCCCACGGACACCGCCTGGTCAGGGAGACAGGACAGCCAATCACAGGCGGCCAGAGCGCCACCCACCCGGGCAGAGGGTGCGGCCAGGGCTACCTGCGGGGTGGTGACCAGGAGGGCCTGCAGGGGCCTGCGGGGGCGCAGGGCTTCCACGGCGGCCATGTGCTCGTCCGAGGTCCCTGGGGGCGTGTCCACGACCAGGTAATCCAACTGTCCCCAGGCCACGTCCGACACGAACTGCTTGATCAGGGCTGCGAGGAGAGCCGCCGTGCTGGGGCGTCCGCCCGGGGCCCGCCGCAGCCTCCCAGCCCCCAGCTGACACCGAGGACGCCGGCCGTGGCGCGGGTCCTCCCTCCCGCACTGCGAGCCCCGAACCCGGCCGCTACCGCTCTTCTTGGGGCCTCTCCACACCACAGCCTCGTTCGGCTTCTCCAGCAGGAAGCCCACGGACATGAGGGCGATGCTCTGCTCCCGGTCCACGAACACGGGCGCCCAGCCGCTGTCACACTGGTGCACCGCCCTGCCCTGCGCCCGCAGCATGCGCGGGATGCTGGGGCCGCACAGGTCCACGTCCAGGATCCCCACCTGCGGGGCGAGGCCCGGCCGGGTCAGGCCGAGCCCCCGACGGGCCCGCCGCGGGGCGGCCGGGGGCGGCGGCCGGGGGCCTCACCTTCTTGCCTTCGTGGCGCAGGGCCAAGGCCAGCTCCGCCGAGAGGGTGCTTTTCCCGACGCCGCCCTTCCCCGAGAGGACGAGAAGGACGTGCCGGACGCCGGCCAGGTTCCCGAGCTCTGGGCAGAAACGGAGAGGGCGGCTCAGGGCCAAGCGCAGAGCGGCGGCCCGCGGCGGCGAGCCCGGACCGGCCTCGGGGCCGCGCGGGGGCCTCGCGGAGGGCGAGGGTCGCGCGCTCTGCCCCTCGCAGGCGGCGCGGCGGGGTCCCGAGCTCGCCCCGGGCCCGCGCGCTCACCGGCCTCCGCCTCCATCGCGCCGCCGGCAGCCCCTAGCGGCTCTCGGCTCGCTTTCTCTCACCCGCCGCGCGTCGCAGCCAGAGTGACGAGCCTGCCAGCCAATGAGCGGCGCGAGCCCGCCCCCTGGCGCCTGGTGGCGGGCCTCCTCCCGCTCCCCTCCACCAATCATATCACCCGAGGACCCGACGCGCTGCGCGCGCACTTCCGGTTCGGAAGACGTAACGGAAACGGACCTACTTCCGTGTCAAGGCCGGACTCTGGGAAGGCTTGTCTTCCGCGTCCCTCGCCCAATGGCCGTGCGAGGCCTGTCTCAGACCGCTTGAGGGGCGGCCAATGGGGACATTGAACCAGGATTGACAGGCGCGGCAACCTCTCCGCGACAGCTGCGTCCCCAGAGACCCACCCCGCCCTCCAGCAGCGTCGGGCCGGGCGCGCCCGCCTCCGGCCGCCTGGGCCAATGCGGCGCGGGGGTCGGGGGATGTTTACGTCTCGTCGGGAGCGGAAAGTAGGTCAGGGCCGGGCCGGCGGTGTCGGCAGCGCGGCGGCAGGTGAGCGGCGGCGGCGGCGCTGGGGCCCTGCGGGCGGTCGAGGGGCGCTCGGCGCGGCGCGGCCGGGGCCCGCCGGCCCTTTGTCCCTCCCGGGCCGCGGCCGCTCCGCGCGGGGAGGCGCTGTCAGGCCCGCCCTTCTGCCGCCGCGGCCCGGGAGACCGGGCGGCTGCCCAGCTGACCACTGACCATTCATTGGCGCGGCGCTGCCCGCGTGCCCCGGACGCCGCGAGAGCCGGCCAGCGAGGCGCACCCGCCCGGGTGGCGTTGTGCCCTGCGCCCCCAGGCCGAGGGCGAGCGCGGACGGGCGGAGGAAGCGGGGTGCGTGGCCGGTGCGCCCTGGGGCGTCGGCGGCCCGGGGATGCCATTGGCCGCCGCAGAGCGGAGGAGGAGCGCGGGTTTGGGATGCCCGGGGCCCGGCGGGTGGGACCTGCAGATGGGCCGCAGGCGCGGGAGCCATGGGAGTCGGGGCGGCCCTCCTCGCTGTCTGCCCTGGGCTGGCCAGGGCGCTCGGGCGCCGGTGGGAGGTAGGGGCGCGGGGAGCCCCGGGCCGGGGTGCGGCGCGGCCCCTGCTCTGACCCTGTGTCCCTTCCAGGTCCTCTCCGTCATGGCCAGGCGCCCCCGGAGCAGCAGGGCGTGGCGTTTCGTCCTGAGCGCTGCCCGCCGGGATGCGGACGCCCGGGCTGTGGCCCTGGCCGGCGCGGCGGACTGGGGCTACAACTCTGACGGGCAGGTAGGCCCCGGCCGGGCCCGGAAGGTTCTTCTGCCCGGTCCAGGGAAGCGGGGCCTCGGTGGTTCACGCCTCGAGTTTGGGGACAGGAGGTGCACCTGCGCGTGCGGCCAGCCCCGACGTAACTGTCCTGAGCTGGCCGGTGCCAGGAGGTCCCCCGTGCGCGTGTGGTGCTGCTGGCCCAGCCGCCTCACTGTCAGGTGCCCTGCCCCGGGCCTCTGGGCCACACTTGGCCACCCAGAGGCCTGGCCCTCATCCTGGCCGTGTACCCGAGGCAGCCTGTGTCACCTGTCCCTGCCCTGCAAGCTCACCACTGAGGGATGCCGGCCGAGCCTGCCAGCCGGGCCACTCGCCGCGGTCACACCTAATGGTGTGGGCGGGCACCCCACGTGCCTGGGTGGAGGCGCTGACCTGTGACCCGGCTCTGGCAGTGGCCTGCCTCACCTCTGGGAGCCCCGCATGCCATGGGGTGCAGTCTGGTCTCCCCAGACAAGCTGACACGCTCTCTCACTGCACACTCCCCGTGGCTTTTCTGGGGGCGGACACCTCCCAAGTGGCTCTCCTCCCGGAGGGACGGCACAGCCCACCCCCAGCCCGCCCAGGGGCGTCCCTGCTGTGTCCTTGGTTGCTCAGCTACTGCCCGGTCCCTGCCAGGCCCCTCCCCGGCAGGAGACGGGGGCAGGAGCAGCAGTGGCAGTGCGCTGGGGTGTGGACAGGCCGTGGGGTACAGCTGCCCCCCGTGGGGGTGCGTGAGGAGGGCCAGAGGCTCAGCCAGCAGTGGCGTCGGCTTCGGTGGCGCCTGATGTTTATTCCGAAAGCAGTAGGAGCCAGGGGTGGGCCAGGGTCTGCCTGGCTGCCGTGCAGGGGAGGGGGCTCGGCCGACCCCCAGGAGGGCGTGGGTCACTGCCAGGACCCTGGAGGTGGCCGCTCGGTCTCAGCATTCCTCCACAGGCGCGCTCTGTGATGGGCCTGCACCCCAGGGCGGGCTCGGGGTGCACCCCCTGACCGAGCGGACTGCCGGCTGGGCCAGCCCTGCTCTCCCGTACCATGCACGGCTCACACGGCCTCACGTGGGCTCGGGGTCCTCCAGCCGGGTCCAGCAAGGGGGGTCGACAGGTGGCGGTGGCCCATCCTCGGTGGGCGGCAGCCGGCGGGGCCCAGGGGAACGGCTTCCTCTTCCTCCCAGCACAGCGATTCCGACTCTGACCCGGAGTGCGCGGCCCTGCCGCCCGCCATCCCCAGTGCCGTGCCCGTGACCGGGGAGTCCTTCTGTGACTGCGACGGCCAGAGCGAGGCCGCCCCCCGCAGCAGCCCGCACGGCGCACACCGCAGCGAGGACTGCCGCTGCGGGGAGGACGCGGAGCGTGAGAGCCGGGGCGGACGGCCCGGGGGGCGGGTCAGGCCCGGGGGCCGCCCCAGCTCGGCCTCTCTGCCCTCGCAGACTTCGACTGGGTCTGGGACGACCTGAACAAGTCCTCGGCCACCCTGCTGAGCTGTGACAACCGCAAAGTCAGCTTCCACACGGAGTACAGCTGCGGCACCGCGGCCATCCGGGGCACCAAGGAGCTGGGCGAGGGCCAGCACTTCTGGGAGATCAAGATGACGTCGCCCGTGTACGGCACCGACATGGTAAGGCGCTGCTGGCGCTGGGGCGCGGGCGGGGGGCCCGGCCCTGGCGCCTTCTGCCCAGCCCCGCCTCGCCTAGATGGTGGGCATTGGGACGTCGGACGTGGACCTGGACAAGTACCACCACACGTTCTGCAGTCTGCTGGGGCGGGACGAGGACAGCTGGGGCCTGTCCTACACAGGTGAGCTGCCCGCGGCGCGGCGGGGCGGGGCGGCAGAGGCCCTCGGCTCACGGCTCGGCCGCCCGCCTGCCCACAGGGCTCCTGCACCACAAGGGCGACAAGACCAGCTTCTCCTCCCGGTTCGGCCAGGGCTCCATCATCGGCGTGCACCTGGACGCCTGGCACGGCACGCTCACCTTCTTCAAGAACAGGAAGTGCATAGGTAAGGCGCACGGGCCCGCGCTTCCTCCCTGCCCGAAGCGGGCCCGGACTCAGCACCGCGTCCCCCGCAGGGGTGGCCGCCACCAAGCTGCGGAACAGGAAGTTCTTCCCGATGGTGTGCTCCACGGCGGCGCGGAGCAGCATGAAGGTGATCCGCTCCTGCGCCAGCGCCACCTCCCTGCAGTACCTGTGCTGCTTCCGCCTGCGCCAGCTGCGGCCGCACTCGGGCGACACCCTGGAGGGCCTGCCGCTGCCGCCCGGCCTCAAGCAGGTGCTGCACAACAAGCTGGGCTGGGTGCTCCGCATGAACTGCAGCCACCGCACGCCCCCGGCGCCCTCGGCCGCGCCCGCCGGCTGCCAGAGGAAGCGCTGCCGGCGGACCTGACTCGCCCTGCGCCTGCGCCGGGGGAGCGCCGGGTCCCATTTCTCGCCCCGCACCGGGTCAGCAGAGGGCCTGGCCCCGCTCACCTGAGGCCAGGACAGTCCCTCCTGTAGGGGCCAGCCCCGCCCTCAGCCACGCCCACGCAGGCGTGGACCTGGGCAGCTGCCGAAGCCCACGGCCCCTCTGCTCTCCCTGCGTGCTCGGCTGTTCCTGCAATAAACAGGTTGTGTCTCACACTGCCTGCACCAGCTCCAGGCCGGGGCGGTGTCCTCCCCCGTCCCTCCAGCTCGGTGTCCACCCCCGTCCCTCCAGCTCCCGCACGTCCCGGCTGGGGCACAGGGGCCCCACAGCGCCTTCTCTGCCTGCGTGCGGGAGGCAGGGAGGCTCCTGGGCTGTGGGGTGGTCAGGAGCCCAGGTCCAGCAGGAGGTCAGGGTTGGCGGTGCTCAGGAAGAGGCAGAGCCGGCGGGAGAGGTCAGGCCCCACCTTGCGAGGCCGAGCGTGCCTGCTGGCCCTCACGGGGAGGTCCGCCAGGAGGCCCAGGCGCTCCCGCTCCGTGCTGCAGGCGGCCAGTGCCTAGGGGAGCAGGCCCGAGCATGAGCGGCTGCGCTCCGTGACCTGGTCCCCGCGCCTGGACCGGGAGGCGTACCTGCTGCAGGAGTCGTGGAGAGGGGAAGGCGGTGACGATGGAGCCGGCCACGGCGGGGCTGACCCGGTTAAACTGCATGATCTGCCGCTGCCAGGCCTCCCGAAGCCCACGGCCATCCCTGGTTACCCGCACACCTGCGGCCCAGCGCCCTGCCGTGCAGAAGGAAAAGGCCTGGGACTCCCGGTGCTGCCTGCGGAGGGGAGAACGGGAGGCCTTCCCCACCTTGCCAGCGGCAGCTGCCCTGCAGCGCCCTCCGGCGGGGGGGGGGGGTGCGCACTTGAACGGGCGCTGGGCCAGGGCTCTGGTGAGGGCGCACACGTGCTGACTCAGCTCCTGCCACGAGGCCACCAGCAGCACGTCCATGTCCGCCCAGAGCTGGAGGAGGACCAGGGCCTGGGAGGATGGAGCACAGCGTGTGTGGACCACGGGCCTTCCACAGGGGCCTGGCTGGCCTCCGAGGGCGGCCACCTCACCTCCTGCACCTCAGGCCTGCCGACGGGCACTCCACCGCGGGCCTCTGGACTCCTGGGTGACTGTGTCCCCCGTGCACTGGGCTGGCTGGACCTGGGCAGGGGTAACTGTCCCTCGGTCCCCCAGAGCGAAGCCCTCGCTCAAGGGGAGCTCACTGGCTCTCCTGCAGGGGGCCCCACCAGCACCCCGACCTCGCCATCCCACCCCCAACCCTAAGAGCGGGGGTGAGCAGTACCACAGGTAGGCGTCCAGTCCCACAACGGCCAGGTGGGGGCGGGAGGGGCTCTCAGGGGAGACCCAGGGCACTGAGCAGATGGGGCCGGAGGCCTGAAGGGGAGAAACTGCACCCCGTTTGCCGGCAGGTCAAGGGCCAGGGGTGCACGCAAGGGCAAGCTTTTGAGAACAGTGGCTCTGCTTTCCTGGAGACAGTGCCCAGGGTGTGCCCCCGACCCCGCCAGAACTGACCGGCTCCCCCAAGTCCCTGGTGCACCCCTCCAAGCTCAGGCCCCAGGGCCCTCCTGCCCTGCGAGCCACACCGGACTCTGCCGCACCCAGACCCTGTCCAGCTCCGTCCCGCTGCACCTGAGCCAGCCGGGCCGCGCCCTGCAGAAACTCCTCGGGCTCCAGCAGCAGCAGCGACAGCAGCTCCGGCTCCTCTCGCTCCTCAGGAGGGGCCTGCGGGGACAGCGGGACGCGCCGCCGCTCTCGCCCGGCCCAGGGTCCGCCGCCGGGAGGGGCAGCCCGGGTCTTCGGGCAGCGGCGGGGCGCGAGCTCCCCCCAGCACCACCACTCCTCGGGACACGCAGTCCGCCGCGGGCACTCACGCTGCGGGGGCAGGGGTCGGGGGTCCCCCAGCTCCAACACAGGCTCCGCGGACGGCGCTGGGGCTCGATGCGGCACTGACAGCCCAGGGCGCCGAGCGCCTGCAGCAGGACGTCCGCGCCAGCGTCCTCCAGGATGGCTGGGGCCGCGAGGGGCACGACTCAGCCGCGCCGCGTTCCCGAGGCTCCTGCCTCCCCCACCCAGGACCACCGCCCGCGGCGCAGAGCCCCGCCAAGCCCGGGCCGCGCCCCTCGCCCCGCACCTGGGTCTACGCCCACCGCGAGGCGCTTCAGGGCCCGCTCCGGCCGCAGCGCCTCGGCCGCCGGCCCCTGGGTCCCCGCGCCGGCCGCCGCCCCGGAGGGGCCCTCGGCGTCCGAGTCCGAGATCTCCCAGGTCGGCGGCCTGCGGCGCGCGCCCCGCGCGCGCCCGCACCCCGCTCTCGCCATGGGCGGCCCGGCCTCTCCTCCGCTTCCGGCGCGCGCGCCCGCTCGCTTCCGGCGCGCCCTCGCTCCGCGCAGCCGCGGCAGCTTCCGGCCGGGTGCCCGGGGCCGCGCGGCGGGACCATGGCGCGCAAGAAGGTTCGGCCGCGGCTGATCGCGGAGCTGGCCCGCCGCGTGCGCGCCCTGCGGGAGCAGCGAGAGCAGCCGCGGGACTCGCAGCGCTACGCCCTGGACTACGAGACCCTGACGCGGCCGCACTCGGGCCGCCGCCTGCCCGTGCGCGCCTGGGCCGACGCGCGCCGCGAGAGCCGCCTGCTGCAGCTGCTCGGCTGCCTGCCGCGCTTCGGCCTGGGCCGCTTGGTCACGCGCAAGTCCTGGCTGTGGCAGCACGACGAGCCGTGCTACTGGAGGCTCACGCGCGTGCGGCCCGACTACACGGCGCAGGTGCGTGCCCCCGCCGGCGCCGCGGGGCTCGGGGCGCAGGCGCGGCCCAGCTGACCCGAGCCGCTTGCTTTGCAGAACTTGGACCACGGCAAGGCCTGGGGCGTCCTGACCTTCAAGGGTAAGGCCGGCCGCGCGGCGGGGGACGCGGACAGGGGCGCGGGGAGCCGAGGAGCGGGCGCTGAGCCCCGCCTTTGCCTCCGCAGGGAAGACGGAAGGCGAGGAGCGCGAGATTCCCCAGGTCATGTACCACGACTGGCGGCTGGTGCCCAAGCACGAAGAGGCGGCCTTCGCGGCGAACGTGCCGGGGCCCGCGGACGCCCCACGGTCTGTGCCCTACCCGCCGCTCCTGCGGGCCATGATTCTGGCCCAGCGGCGCAAGAGCGGGGACCCCAGCCTCGAGGAGCCAGTGCTGAACTTGGAGAGGGTCCGTGTGGACCCCTGGGACTACCCTGCCAGGCTGAAGGCGAAGGGACAGCCCAAGGGCACCCCTGTCTGAATTCCCGGAACCTGCGGGTCTCGGAACACGGTCTGCGTGTGAGGGCAGGGCCAGGACTCGCACTGCCCGCAGGCTTCCTCCGCCCGCCCCCGCCCTTATTGTGGCCAGAAATAAAGGCCAGCCGCATCTCCTGGGTGTGGTTTCTTTGCGTCTAAGGCTGCGGGAGGGAAGGGCCACGGGAGGCGTGTCGCCAGCCCCGTCCGTGGGTTCCCGGGGTACGCGCAGCAGCCCCAAGTCCGGAGCGGAACCTGCGCGCAGCCGGGGTCCCTTTAAGCGCAGGCCCCGCCCCGGGCGCCGCAGGCTCCGCGCCTCCCGCCCCGCAGGCTTCGCGCCGCCGCCGCCGCCATCATGATCTGCGTGGTGCTGGCCCTCTTCGCGCACCTCTTCCCGGCAGGTGAGTGGCTGGGCGCGCGGGGCGGCCTGGGCAGCTCCGGGCCGGCCTGACGCCCGGCTCTGCAGCAGGCACCGGCGCGCACGAGCGCACCTTCCTGGCCGTGAAGCCGGACGGCGTGCAGCGGCGGCTGGTGGGCGAGGTGGTGCGGCGGTTCGAGAGGAAGGGCTTCAAGCTGGTGGCGCTGAAGCTGGTGCAGGTGGGGCGGGCGCGCGTGCGGGGCCGGGAGGGCGCGGGGCGGCGCTGGCCCGGGCCCCGGCGCAGGCGCAGGCGGTCCGCACTCCTCCGCAGGCGTCCGAGGAGCTGCTGCGCCAGCACTATGCCGAGCTGCGCGGGCGCCCCTTCTTCAGCCGCCTGGTCAAGTACATGAGCTCGGGACCCGTGGTGGCCATGGTAAGTACCCCGCCGGGCAGGCGGACGCGGGAGCCCGCGGCGCGGTGACCAGCCGGCCGCTCCGCCTGCGCAGGTGTGGCAGGGGCTGGACGTGGTGCGCGTCTCTCGGGCACTCATTGGGGCCACGGACCCGGCAGACGCCCTGCCCGGCACCATCCGCGGCGACTTTTGCATCGAAGTCGGCAAGTAAGGCCCGCCCGGGGTCGGTGCTGCCCGAGCCCTCCTCCCCGCATCGCCCCTGCCCGCGCTCAGCCGGCCTCTCCGCGCAGGAACGTGATCCACGGCAGCGACTCGGTGGAGAGCGCACGCCGCGAAATCGCACTGTGGTTCCGGGCGGACGAGCTCCTGTGCTGGGAGGACAGCGCCGGGCACTGGCTGTACGAGTAGCGGCCCGCCCCGCCCCGCCCGCCCCGCCCCGCGGCCGCAGCTCCTCGTCCCAGCCTGGCGTGGCGGGTTGGTTGGTTGGTTGGTTTTGCAATAAACTGAAGGCGACTGTGCGCACTGATTCGGACCGGGACGACGCGGAAACGTTGCTTTATTACACAGAGCAGATACGGGGTTCACTTGCAGGGCCAAAGCCGCGGGAGGGTGGTCTGGCGGCCCCTCCCCCGAGCTGCCCCGCCCACTGACCCCAAGTCACGGCTGGGTCCCGTGGGGACAGACAGGGACTTGACGGACATCACAGTGGAGAGGTGGCTGGGCCGCGGGGAGAAGCCTGCTGGGGGACGTGGCTGCGGCCGAGGCCAGCTGGGCTGGTGGGCAGCTGCCCGAGGTGTGTGCTTCTCTGGTGGGGGGCGGCCCCGATCAGTGCCTCAGAGCAGGGTAAGGTCTGGGCCCCCGGGGCAGCAAGGCCTGGCCATGCAGGGGCAGTCCTGGGCCGATGCCCACCCCTCCCCCCACTCGCATGCGCAGTCTGGCGGCCTGGGCCGTGGCCTCCCGTCCTCTCCCCCTGCGCAGCCGCAGCGGGCAGCGCTAGGCACTTAGCGCGTCTGGAGCACACCTATCTCCATCAACCTGAGGCCAGGGCCCCGCCCGGCAGCCTGAGAAACCCCCCCTGGGGGCTCCTCCACGGCCTGGGGTGGGGGAGGGGCTGTCCATGTGGGCAGCTGTGGGTTCCAAGAGGAGGGGCCTCTGGTCTGTGTCCTCAAGCAGCTGCTCAGGGGGCCTGGCTGGAGCCCGGGGGCTGCGGGAAGCTTGGTGGGGGGGAGCCCCGGAGCTGCCCGAGCCCCCCCCCCCCCAGTGAAGGCTAGTGCTGGCCCGTTTCCCTGAAGGGCAGCGAGGGCCTGGAAGGTCGGGGGCCACACCCCCACGGGCAGCATGCAAAGGCAAGTGGGGCCCCTGCTCCCTGATCTGGGGGTGCCAGAAAGGAGAGCCCCGGCCAGGGCCTCCTGCAGGGGCTGTCTGCAGCCGGCGCGGGCCCCCTACCCTTGGGCCAGGTGTTGGGGAAGGGTCCTCCCTCCCAGCTGGCCTGCGCCACCCCGCGCCCTGCCGGCCAGGGCCCGGGCCGCAGGTAAAGCTGCAGGTTGAGAGGTGGGAGCGGGCGCTGGGCGGGTGGGGTCCTATGTACAGGGGCCGGGGCGGCAGCCTCACTCCGGGCTGTAGGACACCTGCCACACGATGATGTGGCTGCGCTCGGCCTTGGACAGCACGGGCTTCACCTGGCCCACGTCCCCGGCACCCTCCTCCGTCTCGTCGTCCTCTCCGTCCCCTGGGGAGAGAGCCGCGGCCGTGAGGGGCGCCCGCTGCCCGGGCCGAGCGCCGCGGCCGGCACCCACTCACCGATGCGGAAGTCGATGTAGCCTTCGCCGCCGCTCAGCACCAGCACGTTCCGGAGCCTCTGGCCCTCGGCGTCGGCGGCCGGCCCGGGGCTCTCGGACGGGCTGTCCAGCACGCTGCCGTTCAGGGTGGCCAGCACGTTGCCTGTCGGGCAGAGGCAGCTCAGGACGGGGGCCTCCGAGCGGGCGGCAGCGGTGACCCGCAGGAGGGCCGGCCCTCACCTGGCACGGAGACGAAGAACTTGACGGCGTCGCGGTGCCCGTGGAAGCAGAGCTGGGCCTGGGCCATGGAGCAGTAGGGGATGAAGCTGCTGGCGGACTTGTCGCCGCTGTCGTCCCCGTACACGTGGATGACGCCTCCGGGGCGGGCCCCCTCCCCAGAGGTGGGGGACGTCTTGTTGGCTGAGACAGAGGAGCCAGAGGGGCTGAGCCGGCCGGCGGGAGCACGGACGCCGCAGCCGCTCGGGGCCGGGGTGGGCGCCCTGCACTTACCTCGGAGCCCCAGGAGCTGGCCTCGGTGCAGGACCACAGCTGGGCAGGGAGGCAGAAGGGGGAGGAGAGGCCATCAGGAGCCAGGTCGCGGAGCCCCACCCTGGGCAGGAGCCCGCGCAGGCCCGGGGCAGGCGGGGGTCACTCACTCTCCGTCAGGGGGATGGAGATGACGACTCCGTTGCCAGTGCCCACCCAGAGGCGGTTGCCGGCAATGAGCAAGGCCGTGATGCGCACGAAAGAGAAGCCCAGCTTGCCGGTGCCTGTGGGGGGAGTGGTCAGTGTGTGTGCCGGGGCTGGGGCCCCCACGCTGCCCCACCCAGCACAGCCCCTCACCCAGCATCTTGCTGACGTAGGGCTCGATGTCCACGTCCTGCAGGTGCTGGTGGGTGTGGGCGTGGTACAGCCGCAGCGTGGAGTCCAGGCGGATCGACACCCACACCCCGTCGCCAATCCACGCCAGCTGCCGCACCTGGCTCTCCCGCCGTGGGTGGGCGTCGAATGACTTCTGCGGGGTGGTGGAGGCTGGTCATGGAGTGGGAGGGACCGGAAGGGGCGGGGAACCTGGAACTGCCTGTCGCAGCCTCGGGGTCACGCTGCCAGGGGGCCGCCCCCAAGCCCCCACCCAGCACCTGCCTGGCTCACGGAGGGCCAGGCCCCTGGGGGAGGCCAAGGGGCAGGGGCGGGGCCTGCACATGACCTGCGGCAGAGCTGCCCGGCCTCACCTCCACCTGCATGGTCTTGGGCTGGATGACGTGCACCTTGTTCTTGTAGCCACACCACACGCGGTCGTACACGACGGCCATGCAGCGGATGGAGTGGTGCGGGTGGCCCAGGTCCATCAGGTGGTAGTTGCTCAGGTCCCACTGGCCATCTGCAGAGAGCCCGCGACAGCCGCTCAGCCTGGCGGGGCCCGCACACCACCCCTACGCACGCCAGGCTGAGCGGCCAGGCTTACCCTCGCCACGGTGGAAGATGGCCAGAGTTCCATCCGCCAGGGCCACGAGCACTCGGCCTTTGACATGCCTGCAACGGGAGGGGGGCTCAGGCTGAGCGAGGACCCCTCCCGACCCCCCGCCCCCAACTCGGGGTCACGTACACCAGGCTGAGCACGGAGTCCTTCAGCTTGATGGAGTGCAGACACTTCTTCCAGTTGGCCACGGCCGAGTGCACATAGAGCCTGTGGGAGGAGCGGGCGGTGGGCCAGAGGCTCCCCGCCCCTCTGCCCCCACCCCCTCCGCACCACCTACCAGCCATTCTGGGCTCCCAGCCACATGGTGGGCGCGGCGCTGCTGCTGGCCCCCGCAGGGTCCCCACTGGGCTCCGGCTCCGGCTGAGCAACGCTCCCGTCCGGCTCTGGGCCATTCTCACTGTGGGAGGGACGATGGCCACAGGTGGCCCTCGGAGCACGCGCCTGCCCTGGGATCCCCAGGCCCTGCCCGCCGTGGCCAGCCTCCCTCTGCTCCTGTCCGGAGGGCCCACCTGTCAGGTTGGGTGCTTGCGGACGGGGTTGGGGCTGGGTCGGTGAAGACGTGCTCCGTGAGGGTCCCGGGCCGCACAGCAGCCGCCTCTGGCGCGCTGGGCCCGGGGTCTGGCACCTCTGTGGCTTCCGTGGCTTCCTCTGTGGACTGCGAAGGGTTGGCCTTCCCGTTGGCGACGGCAGCCACTTCTCCTGTGGGAGGAGGGGTGAGCTTGGGCTGGGCAGAGACAGCGACGAGGGCCAGAGAGCCCGAGGCACCCAGCACTCACCCTGCCCCTTGTCCAGCACGGGGGTGTCCCCTCGGGAGGAGCAGCTGCTGCGTGGCACGGTGCAGCGGGTGGCGCAGCCCACCAGGGTGATGCCGGCCAGCACGCCGTCGGCACCAGAGTCCTCGGGGTTCATCTCGCTGTCCAGGAACATCTCCCCCGGAGGGTAGTCGCTGTCGCTGGCAGCTGGGGGCAGGGGGAGTCACAGCCCTGTGAGCCCCCGCGGAGGCCACACCCAGAGCTCACGAACCTGGGGCTGCAGGGTCTTAGTCCACCTGAACGAGGATGGACTGGGTCCCTGCATGGGGCCACCTGCTCAGGCCAGCCACCTGCTCCCTCCCAGCTGGACTCTGGCTGTCCACTCAGAGCTGCCCAGCTCCATGGCACTGCCTGAAGCCCTGTGGGACGTCTTCCTGGAGCCTGGGCGCCAGTGAGCCGTGGGCCCTGGGATGAGCCTGCTGTCTATCAGGAGGAAAGCCCCGCCCCTCCTCGGCCCCTCTGCCAGCCTCTACCATGTGTGGACGTGTTGCAGGGGGAGGTTTCGCATCAGCATGAGCCTTTGGAGTGGTTTTAGCTGTGGTCCGTGCCGTGGCCCACCCACCTTTCGCTGATGGATCAGACGGGGCCTCTTCCACGTTAGCACGGCACAGGAAGTGCCACCAGTGAGCTTCCTGGACACGTGGCCCAGGTCTCTCTTCTGCATGGCCACCTCCCCCATCCACAGGGTGGGAGCAGGGTGCTCTGTGGCAGGCTCCCCCCCGACGGCGCAGCCACCTCCCTAGGGCAGCGGTCCGGCACAGCGCGGCTCACCGGGGATGCTGGAGACGCACAGCACGTGCGCGTTGCAGACGGTGAACTGGTCCACCACAGTGCCCGGCTGGTTGGCGTCGATGATCACCACCTTGCTGGTGGTCAGGGTGCTGGTGAGGATCCACACCCTGCTGGACGTGGCGTCTGCTTCCTGGAGCTCCTTTGCCTGCGTCAGACAGTGACAGGAGGTCACGGGGTCTCCCCCCCACAGCGGTGCTCTCCAGGCACAGCCTCATCCACGGAGCCCCTCTCTGCCCCTGCACAGGGGACAGCCCGCCAGCCCGGACTTCGCAGCCCCGGAGGCCGCAGTGGGAAGGCCCCCATGGCTCCAAGGGCGGACCCCAACCAGCACCCCTTGCTCCTGGGTGCCCAGGGCAGAAGGACCGTGTCCCTGAGCCACGGGTGCCTTCCCCACTGTCCCATGTCTGCCACTCCCCACCAGCCCTGTGGCCGCACTGACCTTCTTCTCCGGAGATGTGTGGTTGCTCTTGGGCTCGCCTTCCGCCTCCCGATCGCAGGTCAGAGGGTCACGGCCTGGTGTGGGTTTGACCCCGTTCCCAGGGTCCTCCTCGCTGGGCTTCCAGCCGTTCAGGCTGACGCCCGCGGCACACCACAGCTGCAAGGACAGGGCGTGGGTCCCTCTGCCGGCCGGCCCGGGCTGCAGGACCAGCAGCCCA